GGATTTTCCGCACGTCGGCTACGACCTGGACGGGAAGAAGATCTACAAACCCCTGCGGAGCAAGGACGAGCTGGACCTGTTCCTGGAGAAGATGGAAAACCCGGAATACTGGTGAGGAACTCCCGGGAAGGGCCTGGAAAACCTTGGGATAGCGGGAGGTGTCCCTTGGGATGGGGATGAGCCTTAAAATCCCAAAACGTTCCGCGATTCCGTGGATGTGCTCTGCTTGGAGATCCCAAAATTCCCGGAATTCAGGGTTCTGGAGCCTTCCTGAGGTTTCCTGGGGTGATTCCGGATATGTGGATTTGGGATCATGCATGGAGCCTCCCATCCATCCTCAGCTGCATCCCGGGAATCCCTCTGCTTCCTGGGAAATTCCCTCTGCATCCCGAGAATCCGTGTGCATCCCGGGACTCCCATTCCTGTCCTGATCCCGGGTACCCCTGTCCATCCAGGGAATTCTGTCCCATATCCCGGGAATCCCTGTGTCCATCCCGGTGTCCCTTATCCCGGTGTCCCTTATCCCGGTGTCCACATCCCAGTGTCCGTATCCCGGGATGTGTCCGTATCCCGGGATGTGTCCATATCCCGGGATGTGTCCATATCCCGGGATGTGTCCGTATCCCGGGATGTGTCCGTATCCCGGGATGTGTCCATATCCCGGGATGTGTCCGTATCCCGGGATGTGTCCGTATCCCGGGATGTGTCCGTATCCCGGGACGTGTCCGTATCCCGGGATGTGTCCGTATCCCGGGATGTGTCCGTATCCCGGGATGTGTCCGTATCCCGGTGTCCCGGTGTCCGTATCCCGGGACGTGTCCGTATCCCGGGATGTGTCCGTATCCCGGGATGTGTCCGTATCCCGGGATGTGTCCGTATCCCGGTGTCCGTATCCCGGGATGTGTCCGTATCCCGGGACGTGTCCATATCCCGGGATGTGTCCGTATCCCGGTGTCCGTATCCCGGGATGTGTCCGTATCCCGGTGTGTCCCTCTGTCCCAGTGTCCCAGATTGTGTCGTTATCCCAGGAATGTGTGTCGTTATCCCGGGAATGTGTGTCGTTATTCTCGGGAATGCGCAGTTATCCCGGGAACGTGCGGATATCCCGGGAAGGCGCGGATATCCCGGGAACGCGCGGATATCCCAGGAATGCGCGGATATCCCGGGAACGCGCGGATATCCCAGGAATGCGCGGATATCCCGGGAAGGCGCGGATATCCCAGGAACACGCGGATATCCCGGGAATGTGTGGATATCCCGGGAATGCGCGGATATCCCGGGCTGTCTGTTTTTCCTGGGAACGCGCGGATATCCCGGGAACGCACGGATATCCCGGGAACACGCGGATATCCCGGGCTGTCTGGTTATCCCGGGAACACGCGGATATCCCGGGAACGCGCGGATATCCCGGGCTGTCTGTTTTTCCCGGGAACACGCGGATATCCCGGGAATGCGCGGATATCCCGGGCTGTCTGTTTTTCCCGGGAACACGCGGATATCCCGGGAAGGCGCGGATATCCCGGGAAGGCGCGGATATCCCGGGAACAGGCGGATATCCCGGGAACACGCGGATATCCCGGGAACACGCGGATATCCCGGGAACACGCGGATATCCCGGGAACGCGCGGATATCCCGGGAATGTGCGGATATCCCGGGCTGTCTGTTTTTCCCGGGAACACGCGGATATCCCGGGAACACGCGGATATCCCGGGAACACGCGGATATCCCGGGAACACGCGGATATCCCGGGAACGCACGGATATCCCGGGAATGCGCGTTTCCCGGCAGGCGCACGGTGCAGGACGGGCAGACGGGGGCGGAGGTGCCGCTGTCGGAGGAGCAGCTGGAGCTGATCCGGCGGCTGCAGCGCGGGAACTTCGGAGACGTCGGCTTCGACCCCTACGAGGTCAGCGATTCCCAACGGGAATGTGGGACGCGATTCCCAACGGGAATGTGGGGAGCGATTCCCAATGGGAATGTGGGGAGCGATTCCCAATGGGAATGTGGGACACGGTTCCCAACGGGAACGTGGGGAGCGATTCCCAACGGGAATGTGGGGAGCGATTCCCAATGGGAATGTGGGGAGCGATTCCCAACGGGAATGTGGGG